TCAGAGGAAGGAAGACTTCTGAGAGGAGGATGTTTTCCAAGCTATAAACAACACTGACGTGCTGAAATCACTGCCACTGCAGGCCATATGGAGTCCTGTCACTCTGGAACAAGTTTCTAATGTGTTGTCATGGGAATATTGCAAAGTATATCCTGGAGAGACCCTTCCAGAAGCAAATCCTGCCCAGATTTGATTCACTCATAACTGCTCTGCTCTGCTGGATGGCAGAGGTAAATAAGCAAAGGACAACTCAGATAAACCTTGTCACACAGGGATTTTTAACAGTCAGTGCCACTGAAAATGGAGGTAAGTGACAGAATTACTCAGAACTAAACTAATGAACCATAAACAACTGAGAATTGCTGGGATTCTCCTGTGCTCAGAACCCCAGAGCACACACACTGCACCAGGATGTGCTATGGGAGCGTCTGAGCTCCTCTAACCCACCAGACAAACCCACATCCACACTGTGGGAATCAGTCTGCCCCTCCATTAAAAATAATAAAATAAAAACAACAAATAAAAGAACAGAAAAAAAACCCACCCCAGATCTCCATAGCAATCTTCTAACTCTTCTATATACTGAGAGGACAGCTGGTAGAGGTCAGATCAGAAGCCACAGCGAGGGGGCTATGTGCGAAGAAGACAATATATGATGCAAAGGTGAGAGCATTAGTTTATGGGAAGTGAACTCCTTTTTTTCCACACAAGATGTCCTCTGCAGCCTGGACACATTCCCAAAAGCATCTGAATGTGTCAGTGGTTCCCTCCTGGGTTCCCTGCATCCTCACAGAAGCTCTGCTGCAGCTTATGCACTTGGGCGAGCTTCAGAAACAAGCTGAGCCGCACAGTTTCACAGAGGGATGTTCAGCATTTAGGGAGGAATAAACCCTGGTTAGTGGCTTGATAAACTTTGGTTAAGGTGCCTTTCCTCCCAAGAGAATCTGGGAGGGGAACCTGTCTCAAAGGTATATCCCTAACTGTGGTTTTCCACCAGTGATCTGCTGGTTTTGGCAGAGCTGCCTGCTCCTCCTTCCTGCCCCTGTATCACAGGCCAACATCTCATCATGGCCCAAATAAAACAGTCTGTGGCACTTAAGCTATAAACCAGATCACTGAAATGGCTTGAGGGAAAAGTCCCTTGCCCCAGAAAGCAAGTCCAGTTTCCACCAAACAACTCTATCAGCACAGTTGCAGCAGTGGAGCAGAAGCAGGAATTTCTTCAGCTGGCTTCACCACTGAGAGGGAGCAAATCCCTGAACAGCCAACACTGCAGTAACTGCTGCATCTTTGGGATGTGTCCAACTTCAGACCTGCTCTAGTTTGTACAAAAAAAATATTAATTGGTTCAGATGGAAAGACTGACTCTATCCTAGGAGGAAGATGAATCATCTGAGCTGGGGTTTCAAACTTCTGCTCCAATAAATTTAATTATGCACTCAGCTTCAAAACCAAGATCAAGGGAGATCCACATCAGAATGTCCAATGTCCTGGTAATCCAGACACTACCCCAGTGGCTGAGATAAGACCTAAACCCCTGTTACCAGTAAGATTTTAAGCCCTACCTTGTATAACCCTGTCAAGCATCTTCACCAGGAGACAACTCTGTTTATGAGACCCTCCTGTATAGCTGGCTGTCTTCTGATCTGCTAAATGAGGCTACATTGCAAAGACAACCAGTGGAACACTCTTCTGGGCTGCAGGACTTTGGCTTGCTCCCATTAGCTGCTTTGCACTTATTTGCCTTTGGAAATGATTCATATAGGGCACCTGTTTGTTAGCAAGGCTGGGCAGGACCTAATCAACACTTCCAAGAACGTTAGTGAGCCTGAATGACTGGATTTTGTCAGATAGTACCTCCAGCATATCACCCTTAACCCCCCTGTTCCACTCCTCCTTTGCCAAACACTGATAATAAAGAGCACAACACAAGGAGGATAAAAATGCCAGGGAGGGAGTGAATCTTTTTGGAATAATGAAAGCCCAATATGTGAAGACAGAAAGTGTTCTGCCAACTTAATGTGAGTTTCATAACATCCTATACAAAATATGCTTCTGTGACTTCCTGGAGGAACTGTGCTGCTACACATTTACCTTTTGCTTTCATCTTCATTTACAGGCTGTCCTGTTTCAAGCAGGTTTAGATCATCTGGGATTCTGAAAACCTCCTTTGTGTTGCCATTATCATCCTTCAGGCTGCTCTGCTTTTCCTTCTTCTTCTCCATTAGGTTTTGCAGCCGCTTTTGCTGTTGCTCTTGATAAGCCTTAAACTGGCTTTTAAAATGTTCACTCTCTTTTATGTCTGACTCCATTGTTTACTAAAAGCATAACAAGAAGACAATAAAAAGTGACAGAGAGCAGAGATCAAGACTGCTTTGGAAAAACATCCTCTTCTAGCAGCTGCCTCACTGTTTCTCCTCACTGACCTCTGCACAGTCTCCCTGCTGCCTTCTCCTCCCAGCCACTGTGCTTTCCAGCCCCACGGCCTTGCTTCAAGTGCCTTTTTCCATAAACAGCTTCCAAAGAGTCCTCAAGAAAGTCTTTTCCACCCTAGTGTTCAAAACAGCAATGTTTTGAAATATCTTCAAACAGATCTGTTTAAATAAACATTGTTACAGAAGAGCAAGTGAGGGTCAAATCCAAGTGAATGGGGCAACTACATTATACTGCATAAAGGGAACATGTTTATGAAGGGAACTGTTTAAGACCCAGGTGCATCCAGCCTTCCTTCCCACATTCCAAAAAAGGTACAGATCCCCCCATTTTTTGTGTTAATGTGGGACTGTCAGAGGAGGAAAGATCTCTGCTTATCCTAATGCTCCCTTTGGGCACTAGGCACCAGGAGTGTGGCTTACATCTTTCCCCTAAAACTTCTGAGCATTAAGTGATAACATTAAGGCAATAATAATATTGCTACCCATTTACAAGTCTAGAGCTTTACTTAGCACGACTAAAGATGATCAGTTTTCTGATGTGTTCCAGCCCACTCTCCTTCTCTTGGACATTCACTGTCAGCAAAAAACCTATGGCCTGGGAAAAGCAGCTGGGAAGAACTTTCAACATGCTCCACTGGGTAATCAACACACTGAGGCAGCAATCACCCTGACAAAATGCAACATGTCCCTTTGTGCCCGAACGGAGAGACACTGCAGGCAGTTTTCCCTCCACACCGGCCTCTGGATCCCATGGGTGTGGACAAGGTGCACTAAGGACTGACAAGTGCAAAGAGCAGAGCCCGGTGCCTCCGCACAGCCTCGTGGGCACGAACAGACAGCCTGGGGGCAACCTCTGGCCCTCGATCCTACCTCGGTAAGGTCTCCAGACCTAGCACGGAGGGACGTGCCACAAGGCCGCTGTGTGGGGAGACGGGATTCCCAGCCTTGTC